TACTGACTACTCCCCCCCGCTCATTCCCCATCATCGAGTTCACATGAGTACATCACATTCTTTCACTCTGTTTCTCGTATCATCCCTAGTGACTCCTACATAGTGTCGAGCCTCGTCAAGCACATGGTGGGTGTGGGACGGAGTAGCTGATTCCTCGCTGTCATCCTGTCGTCGCCTCGGTTCTCGTCTCTATCCTCCGTCCCCGTTCTGTGAGCTTTTTGTATGATGATCATCTTTACTATCTGTGTTTCTTTTTTGGCACTCAGCCGTCTATCTCGAGTGGCGACGTCTCGGTGCGGCGTACTCTCGGCTAGTCTGCTCATATACATCCTCTTCCCTGCTCTGCTGTCACAGGTCCCAGTTGTGGGGCGTCCTTTGCGGTCTATGGTTATCGCTCCCCTTTCGCAGCTGGCCGGGGGCTCGCCCACTTAGACGGTTATCCCCTTCTCCCCCCCCCCCCTGTGCACCAGGCATTGACCCCCCCCTCCCATTCAAAACATTCCCCCGCGCACCTTTGGTCTGATGTTGGGGGGTGGGGTGGAGAATGTCAATAGTCAACGGTTGGTCGGGCCGGAAGTGATACTCCTGCTGCCTTCCTCCACAGTGATACTTAATTGTTTGTTCTTTTCTGAGTTTTTAATTTTTTGGCAAAATTTCTCGTGTCCAAAGGCTTTCTCAGATCCTCTATTTGTTCTCCCTGGTTACATGTTTATTCTCATTTTATAAACCATTTTTGAAAATGTTGAGAACATGAATTCTGTGGTAATTTTCTGTTATATTTTGCCCTCCAGAATTAGTTTTATCTGTTCATCATGATCCCCTCTTTACTTTGCTCAGACATGGGTCGAACCTTTGCTCATTCCTATTTACAAAACACTTCGTGGAATATTCTAGGTGATCAGTATGGGTCTGATCCACTGAGGTATTGTCCCTTTCACATATAGGCTGGTCACCGGAATGGAGGGCAGGTGTGCCAATTAGGAAGTGGTCTTCTGCTTTGGGGATACATAGTATGGAGTTTTCAGGAGGGTTAGGAGTCATCCCCAGATAACGACATTTCCCTTCTGGCTACATTTGCATTTCTGTTTGGAAGCAATTCCACATCTATGGTGCAGTTTTGCAGTTTTTTTCAACCTCTGTTCTCATCCTGGTCATATAATTCACTGCCTTTGAGTGTAGCTTTAGGAGATAAAAGGAGGTAAAATACCACGAATGTTTCATCCCAGTGTAAGCAGGAGTGAGAGGGGCAAAGCAGGGCAGGGGCAGATAGTGCTCTCAGATTAGTAACACAGCTTGCCCCTCTGCTGTACTTGCATTTTGTTGACTGTTACTGAAGTTTCTCTGAATGTGCTCCAGTTTTCTACTGCAAATGTTTTAATGTTTCTGAATTAACCAATAGGATAGCATCTACTTTTTTATCCTAGAAAAGTTTCCATAGAATTGAAACATTTCAACAACTTTAGATAGAACTACTTCTTTAGCATCTCCTATACTACTTCGATCATTACTCTAGAACTAGGATGAAACCTCATCAGTTTATTTAACGTAAATATAGCTCTCATGAAAATGATTTGACCATCACACCAAATAAGTTCAAATTTGTCTAACAGTACATTTTGCTACTTCTCAGATAATATGAAACCTCATTTTTGCCCTTTATTTCTTCCAGATTGGTCCAATTGTATTGCAAGTTCTATCAGGTTCCATCTCAAGACATTCTGTGTTGTACTTCAAAATTGTCAGCTATATGGTATACTGTTGATGAGTACTAGATTAAGAATAAAAGCTATGAGTTCCAATTCCAGTCAGAACTCAGGAGTTTCATTGGTCTTTTGGGGGTTAACAGTACTGATATAAAAGTAGAAAGTGTATCACCTCCTACCCATCCTAACGAGTGTTGTCCTAGAGCATGTTAAAGCAGTAAAAATAAAAATGAAGCTATGAGTAGGTTTCAGCCACTCCTTTTCCTGTTTCTATTATATCTGAGATTGAATAAGTATTATGTGATGTGCCTTTACTAATGGCCTAGTAAGGGCTAGCATAGGAAACCTGAATCTAACTTGTTGCATTGTAAAGCTCCTGGCATAACCATAAAATTAAATTAGAAAGGACAATATGTTCACTGAAAAGGAGGAAGGACAGAAATGAAGACGACACAGAATTAGGATACCTGGGATCTTGGTCCTATTTTGGGTTGCAACAGTATCTTGTGATGGGAAAATGAGCAAATCAACAACTTTGTCTGGGTCTATGATCTAATTTGCGAAATGAAATGCTTAACTAATCTGAATTTTGTAGACTCAGAAAATGAGTGCAGCCTATTTCATGAGTTTTTCTTTAACAATGGAATGGAATGAAAAAAGCAGCCTTCAGACTATTTATAATGAGTATCAAATATTAGTTTCAGGAATTGGATGCTATTCTTGATGCTAAAATAATAATCCCATTTTAAGTTATGGCATTAGTGTAACCCTCTAAAATATACAAATCAAAAAAAGCTGGAGCCCTCTTTGGATCTACTGTTTGCTGTGTGTGTAGTTGAGGACAGATTCCAAGTTTCAGCTTGGTGGTATCCCAGACCTGGGCTAACAACATAGGGCTATACCAAAGTTCCAAACTCCTTTTCAACTAATTCTACTGTACTTTGGAAGTGGCTACACTAAATATCATTCCTATAATTACTGATATTCCAACTATGAGAGCCATGGTCAGATGTTCTGCTCTAAGAGAACTGTGCCTTAACACCAGGGGAAGAACCAGTGACAAGCCCGAGTATTAAAGAAATCGCAGCAACTGTAACAGAATTGATTTATAGTAGTGCCATTCAGATCAGAATTTCTAAGTAGTGGGCAGTGGTGGTGACTGACTGCTTTACTTTATGAAATACATTATGAATTGAAAACATATAATTTTCATGTATTAAAAAAAGAAAGAATACTGCTTTCAATTAATCTATGATTTGTCATTATTTCTAAAATGCTCCTCAATTTCAGAAGTTAAAATGTGAATTAATGACTGAGAAAAAGTCAATGAAATATTTATTAGGTTTCATCATCACTTGTCTGAATACATTTATCAGCACAGATATATTTTTCACTATTGATAATTATTTATAAATTTTGGTAATTTGTGGCCCCAAGTAATAGTCTACATCATTGTGTACAAAGATAGAAACCACCAGAAGAGAAAAATAATGGTATTTTCTTCTCGCTGTTAGGTCATTTCACACCTTGGGCTCATCACAGAATGACTGGACTTGCCTCTCTTTTCTGTTATTGGAGGGAGAGGTTAGTGTACAGGCTAAAGGATGTAATTCTTTGGGTAACAGGGAGAACCTTATTCTCTGAATTCATAGCTAACCTCTTCCAGCATGCTATGAGAGGCATGTTACATCATCTTTCAGATGCGATCAGACACATTCAGGGTGGTACGGCTATAGACAGGACATCATTTTTCAGATGGAATAACAGACGCCATAAACATAAATCCAGCAAAGTTGATGCCTTTAGGCTCTACTCAAGTCCCAGTTTGAGTGTGAGGGTTTTAATTCCATCAGTTCAGTGAGCTTCCCTGAATGGATACAGCTCACTGTTGAATACATGAGTCATTTCCTAACCACGACCAGTCAATCATTCCAAGGCAACAGCATGGTGGATGAGAGGGCCACAAGGTCAGGACTGTAGAGCCAGGTTGGCTTGCCACACCTATATAGATTCAAAGATTACTATTTTAACTCTTTATACTACTGAGGGGAGCTCTAATAAAGCCAGTTGTTGGGTACCTGCAAAAAGAAAACACTGACATATCATTTCCCATGTAGACATCTCAAATAGTAGGCTGGATGATCTGCTCCACTCCTGTCTCATATGCCCTTTTGAAAGGCAGGGTGGATTTCAGGAGAAAGCAAGGTAGAAAACAGGGTCAGTAATGGAGTAGAGTCTTTCCATTTAGAATTGTGTGTAGAGATTTTCCATAGGCTAGATATATGTTTTGATATATTGTGGAAAGCCTGTGTCTGTGGCTGCTACTGTGCTCCAAAGACCACTTGCCAGACAAACGACACCAACACAAAGGAAGTGAAGTATGTATAGCAGGACAGAATCCGGTTGGGGAAGGTGCAAAAGAAGACAACATAGAGCCATACTTCCTCATTCTAGGAACTGTGTTATAGGAAAGCCTCTTCCAGGCCCCCTAATGAACACTGTGCATCTTCTACCCAACTCCCAGCTTGGCCCACCAAAGAATTAGTGACAGTCAAGAAAGCACTACAACCATAACAGTTAAGTTAGAGACATTTACTTCCTTTTCCTTTCCTTCTTCCCAGTCCTCAAAATACCAGAGGAGACAGCAGTTGGAGGGGTAAGAGTTAAAGAACAGCCCCCTCTCCCCACACCATGATCTTAACATCAAAGCTTAGCAGCAGCTGGAGGAATGCTGGAGAAAGATGTTAGCATAGATTGAACATTAAAGTTTTAAATGGATATATATAGCCATTTTTATATCTAAAAGTATCTGGAAAGGTATGAGATCTACTAGTTTCTAATCACCAAAAGTTTAGACTGTCAAATTAAAGTAGCTACCCAAGGCAGGATTCTTTTCAGATAGCTGAATCATGATTATGCAACCTTAGGTCTGATGTAAGGGACAGTATTGGCATGGGATCCTTAGGTTTCCACCAGATTGATGAGAAAAAATTCCTTCTGGCAAATTGTAATGAGAAATACTGATGAGTTCTAAAATTCTGAATGTACCTTCAGGTGAATCAGGGCTGAATAGCAGCACATTGGGAGGCTAAACAGAATGTCACTAACTAGACAATACTGTGTGTAACACACAGAATTACATGAAAGTCATGGTATAGATTTAAAGTCACAGTGTAGATTATTCTACAAGT